CTATAACATTCTGGAAAAAGCAGAACTATGGAGACAGTAAAAAGAATAAGGGGGGTTCAGGGTGGGGGTTACGGGAGAGTGATGAATAGGTAGAGCACAGGGGATTTTTAGGGCAGTGAAACTATTCTGTATGATACTACAATGGTGGGTGCATGTCATTGTAGATTTGTCAAAATCCATAAATGTATAATACCAAAGATTCCTAACGTAAACTATAGACTGGTTGATAATGATGGTGACAATCTATGATAATAATGTTTACATGATAAGAATACTGGTTCATTGACCATAATGAATGTACTTCGCTGGTAAGAATGTTGACAGTGGGAAAGGCTATGTGTGTGTGTGTGTGTGGTGGGGGTGGTCAGTGAAACTGTACTTTCAGCTTAATTTTACTGTGGATCTAAAATAGCTCTAAAAAATAAAGTCTATTAATTTAAAAAAAAGAAAAAGAAAGTGTTCCAACAGCCAAATCACATGTCCAGCTTCCCTTGAAAAACCAGTTCTGGTTGTTTCAGCCCCAACCAGGTGGAGATAGGTAGGCATGGCTGGATCTCACCTAGGGACAGTCCCCACCTGGCTGGCTTATCACTTCCCATATATCAACTGCCTGGCCCTAGGAAGCACTGGAGTTTGAGATTCAGTCTAGATCAATGGTTCTCAACTGAAGTTAAATGGCTGGGACACTGGCAATGCCTGGGGACATTTCTGGTTGTCACATGGAGTGTGTTACTGGCATCCACTGCGTGGAAGCCAGGGATGCTGTGAAACATCCTGAAATGCACAGGATGGTTCCCAACACAGAGAATGATCTGGCCCTAACTGTCACTAGTGCTGAGGTTGGGAAACCCCGGTGCAGAGACCTGGGTCTCATCTGGGAAACACCTGAAACTAATATAATATTGTATGTCAACTATAACTGAAGAATAAGTTTTAAAAAACATTTAATGGTGTAAGATAAAAGCACTTTATAAAACATATTGTATTGGCAAAGGTATAAGAAATAAACAATATTTCAATTTTCCCAGTCCCCCATTCCCACCCCCCACCCCCAAAATACTGATGCTGGTGCTACTCCAGTGATACTGATTTAAATGATGGAGGGGTGCTGTCTGGACAAGAGGATTTTTAAAAGCTCCCTAGGTAGGTCTAATTTGAGGACTGCTGGTCTGGAAAGTTGTTTGGATGGGTCAGGCTTAAGGTAACCAGTATTGTCATTCATTCATTCTATCATTCCTTCAATCATGCAGCCAAAACCCACTGCTTCCTCCTCTCTTCTTGCACAGAGCTAGGGGTCTTAGAGGTGAGTCAGACCCAAAGCCCCTGCCCCAGAAGGAGTTCCAGCCTTTTGCAGTCCATCACTTCTCAAATGTGTGCTTATGGGGATCTTATTCAAATGCAGATTCTGATTCAGCACGTCTTGGTTGGGGTGTGTGTGTGTGTGGGGGGGGCCTGGCATTCTGTATTTCTTAACCAGCTCCCAGGGGATACAATGATGTTGTTCACCTGAGGATCACTCCGAACTTTGACCCAGAAAATGCCTGCATCCCAGGAAACACATTCCCCACTGCCTTACGAATAAGTGTAAGTACCTCTCCCAAGTGCCTTAGACACATACTACCACTGACAAAGTTTTCAATAAATCTTCACAACAGCCAGGAAAGGAAGTCCAGGGTTATTTTTTTACCAATGTGCCCATTTCACAGATGAGGAAACTGAAGCTCATGGAGATGCAGTAACCAGCCTATTTACTCAGTGCTAGAGGCAGAACCGCTCTTTATTCGAAGGCCAGCTTTACTCTCAGCTTCACATGTGCTACCTATGCGATCACCCAGGACCCTCGCACTCAGAAGGGCCCCACATTCAGTTTGATGTTCTGCAGTCACTGTCTGGAAATTCTTAATTTCTGAACAAGGGGTTCTGCAAATGCTGGAGCTGCTCCTGCAATCAATACATGGCTTCTGAAAAGAAACCTTTACAGAGACTCAGCAGGAACACCAAACTGGAGGGCTAACAGCTAAGTCAAATGCCTCCCTTTCCTAAGGGGAAGCAAGTACCTCAGAGTAATCCTAGTGATTCTTGGGGTTAGTCAGACCTGGGTTGGAATCCCAAGGTCAGCATCTACCAGCCATAGAACTGACCGCAGTGCCTGCATAAATTAGCTTAGCCTCTGTTTCCTATTTCCCCAGTTACAAAAGGAGGGAGTTGAACTGGGTAGGGGTTCTCAACCTTGACAGCAGACAGCAGTCACTGGGGGAGGAGAATTCAAATACGAGCATGCCAGAGCCCCACCCCAGACATTCTGCATCAATTGGGGGTGGGGGTTAAGAGCGCCCAGGAGCCTCTAATTTGCAGCTAGTGTTGAGAACTGCTGAACCCTCTCAACCTTCAGGAACCTTCAGGCTCTAGTACTTCTAGTTCAGATGACTTACTCTGGGACTGTAGTAGGAATGTCCTACTCCCAGCCACCCCGGAGACCCCTTTCCTCCAGACACTTGTGTCCTACATTCCTATGGGGCTCTTGTTCCACAGTTTGAGATTTCCCAAAGTGTGCTGGATTCCGTACTCGCCCTGGAACTGGCCGAACCACCAAGATTTCGTCCCCAGACAGGAAATACAGCCCCTTGGTCATGCTACTATAACACAAAGCTTTGCAAAGTAACTGCTCTCAGAAAAGATTAAAAAAATATATAGGTCCTGGCCTCTGGCCTGGCAAAAATAAAACGTAACAAAAAAGCTTGGCAAGAAGAGTATAATCCTATTTGCATAAGATCGTGGATTTACATCTGTAACTATGGGGTTATAAATGCAAAGAGAGGTCTGGAAGGGTGGTCAGAGAACTGTAATTCTCTCCTTTTTCCTTTGTGCTTTTTGGCTGGAATTTTAAATATACTCGAGCACCTATTTTTATCATCTAAAAAAATTTTCCATTCTGAGAATATAGGGGTAATTTACATTTAAGTGGGAGAAAGGGTCACAAAGTTTTGGGGTGATTGATCTTTCTCCTAAAGCTAAATTCTACTGTCCATTTATTTTGCTTGTGTGCTGGAATAATTAAAATACTAGGAGATGAACAAGAATATTCAGTGAACCTTGTATAAAAATAGAACACATTCTATGGAGGCCACTTACCTTCATTTAATTTTTTTTTTCTTTTAACCCTAGAAGCTGGGTCTTCCCCTCTGATTCTCTATGGAGGCCTGGAGATGGTGGGAGAAGGCTGACCCTAAATCACCCTGTCCTAGAGCTGGTTCTGCTCAGTAAGTGGAAAGGACTCGGGCCAGGGCTGGAAGAATTCCGGCAGGGAGCGGAGATCCAGCACAGCTTCTCCATGGCCGCAGCGGGGAGGGGGCACCGGTGTCACTTTTTCTGAACCTGACCCCAGCACGACCAGCCCTTATATAGACACTCAGCTGCCGCTCCCGCTCGGTGCGCCAAGGGCAAGGCGGGAGGTCACGGCTGCGGGCGGCCAGGACATCTGGCCGTATCCACAGCGCCGACCCCCCGCCTGCGCCCTCACCAGGACCTGCGCCTTTTGCCCAAGTTCATGCGAACTTCTTTTCCCAGGACCCCTGACCTTCTCCGCCTGTCCCCTCCCCAGCACCTGTTCCCTTTGCTCTGAACTATCACGTTCCTCTCCCTTCCTTCCAGCCCTCATCTGCTTCCCCTCCCCCATCCCCACTATCTCGGGGGGCTTCTCTCCTTGCCCTCCCTCGTGTCTCCCCACTGCCCGCCCGGTATGGGAGAACCCCATGATCCCATAACCTGTATGATCCCCCGAACCCGTCCCTGGGACCCGTCCTCCCCACGATCCTGTGCTTCCTTCTCCTCGCCCCCCGCCCTAGCTCACCTGGCTCATACTTGAGGTAGAGGATGGAGACGATGAAGTAGCTGAGGTCGAAGACGGGGAAAAGCGGCACCCGCGAGAAACTGAGTGCAAGCTCGTCCAGGCTCAGCGCGGTCAGCAGCTCCATGGCTCGCGCCGGGTCCCACCCCAGCCCCCAGCTGGGTGCGTCCCGCCGCCCGCGGCCCAGCAACTGCTCCCCCGCCGCTGGACCCGCCCTCGCCCTCAAGGCACCGCCCCCAACCCGGCCCCACGGGAGAGGAGGGGCAACGGCTGTCGTGGAGCCGTGCTGTCCCTAGGAGCCCAGCCGATCGGTTGTCCCCTACTCTATCTTATCTCTCCTTTGGGCCATCACGACCCCATTCAGCTCAGCGAAGCGGGGTGCTGGCCCTGTGGAGTGAGTTGGACAGGGAAGCTGTCCATTGGGGAGGAGGGGTCCCTCACTCACAGAGCCCACCCAGGAGGAACGGATCAGTCAAGCCTCGTCCAAATGAGGCTCGATGAGGATCCACGTCCTTTGTGGAGACCTCGAATCGGCACCTCCATCCCCCGTGGGGTCTGATCAATGATAAACCCCATCCTCCAGAACCCAGGGGTCCCTTCGGTCAGGATCCCGTCCTCTATGCAGCTGTCATGACCCCAGTCCTCCATGTGTCTCCATAACTGATGACCCCCATCTCCCACGGGGACCTGCGTCCTCCGAAGGGAACGCTCGGTAGGGACCCCCCGGCCCCGGTAGTGGAGGTCCTAGCCACCCATGGGGGCCAGAAGCGGCGTCCATGTCCCGGAGAGCCCACTGCCTCATCCATTCCCCTTGGCAGTTCAGTGGTCAGGGGGCCCTGTTTTTCCAGGAGCCCCACCCGAGATTCCGGCTCTGAAGGAAGAACCGCTGAACAAATTCTCTAGAGCGCGGGCCCATCACACATGCGCGGCACGCCTCCAATGAGGGACCTAATCCCATCTTCAGATGACACCGCCCCTGCGTGACGTCACACGCCCTCCCCCCCCCGCCCCGCCCTTCGCTAAACTCTGGGCCTCCCCAGCAAGGAAGGGCTCTCCCTCTTTCCTAAGGGGGCCGGGCCTGCGGAGCTTTGCCTTGGCTTTCGATTGGCTCAGCTCTTGCCAGCGCTGCTTCGCGATTGGTCCGCTGGTGCTCCTCTCCCCGCCCTTCCCGGGGCTTCCGCTTCCGGTTCTGACGGACGCTTCGGCAGTAAAGATGATCGGAGACATCCTGCTGTTCGGGTAATTAGAGGGACTAGCGAGTGGGCGAGAGGGCCCAACGGGGCGGGGGCGGTCCAGGTAACCGCATTCTCACCCCACAGGACGCTGCTTATGAACGCCGGGGCTGTGCTCAACTTTAAGCTGTGAGTAGGCCGCGTCGGACCGCGGCTCCACCCGGGAACCTGTAGCCCCGCCCCCGTGAGCGTGAGCCCGCCTCACGTCGCAGTCCTAGCTTCCAAGTCCCAGCCCGCCCTCTGGCCCCGCCTCCAGTCTTTGCGAGCCTCCGTGCCTCTGCGACTTGAGTTCCTGACTCTGTTTCCCTGTGTCCCTCTGCTCTCACCCCGAAGAGCCTCAGGCCCATCCCCCAAGAAACTCTTAGCTGTACCCACGAACCACCTTCTCCACCGTGTCAGTGGCTGTGATTAGTGGGGCAGATGGGGGCCCAGAGAGAGTCGTTGAACCGCCCGAGGTCACGCAGCAAGTAGGGCTAGAGCTGAAGCTAAGTGTCTGTGGCCCTTTGAGGGCAGGGGACTGAGCGGTCCTTGTGTCCCATTGAAAGTAGACACTGACTGCTTCTCTTTGTAGGAAAAAGAAGGACACGCAGGGCTTTGAGGAGGAGTCCAGGGAGCCTGGCACAGGTAAGGCCTTTCTGGACTCTGGAATTGGTCCATTTCAGAGAGGACAGCTCTTTGTCACCAAGTGCTACCCCAGTTTTCTTTTTATTGTGTGTGTGTGTGAGATGAGCCTGAGGATGTGCTGTTCATTCTGCCCACCTCAGTCACCCACTTCTTTCTCTGGCCAGATCTCCTGGCATAGGTCAGTTCTCATCACTTCTACAGTTATACTTCTCTTTTATGTATGCTGTCATCTGGCTGTCTACCTCTCACACTTGACCTTAAGCTCCAAAGAGGCTCCAGCTTGTTTTGGTTCAATCTTGCTGTGTGATTGCTTGTTTAGTATTTGTCCTCCTTAGGGCGGAGACCTCTCTCTTGTTCCTCCCTGTGTCCCCCACACTCAGCTCCTGCCTGGAACTGGTGGCCTTCAGTCAGCATCTGTTGATGGCAGCAGAGCCTGTTTATGTGATCCTGGGTCAGAGAAGGGCCTTGTCAAGCAGTGCCTCTTGGACATTCTGGGGATGGACCCGTCTCTGACATTTGCGCCCGTGTTGGGCCAACACTTACATAGGCTGTGCTGCACATGGTTAACCCCATGGGGTGGACAAAACAGTGTTCAGCAAGATTATGTGCTGATCATATGCTAGGATGGTGCAGCAGCACCAAGTGGCTGTCATGTTGGGTTGCTTTTAAAATTTCTGAGCTCCTGCTCAGTATACCATACTTACTGGACAGCTGTGGTTTCTGGATGACACTTTGGGTAGCACCCCATAGGTCACCTAACCTGGACCAGTTCATTTCATTCTGGAGGCCTGGAGGGGCCTGTGATCTAGTCAAAACCCCAGAGGAGGATTCTGGACCCTAGGTCTCTGGAGTCTTAAGGTACAAATTGGCTCCTCTTGGAGTGGTTTGAAACATCCAAGGGTAGAATTGTCTTCAGGCATATCTGGATTCAAGGCTCAAAGCTGCCCTCCAGCATGTGACTGTATCCAGCTCTTTTTTTTTTTTCCCCCTGGGTTGGTTTTACTGTTGGGCAAAGACCACTCTAGAGCAGGGTTTGGCACATTTTTCTGTAAAGGGCCAGATTATAAATATTTTTAGCTTTGCAGGGCATGCTGTCCTTGGCACAGCAATTCAGCTCTGCAATTGTAGCTCAAAAGTAGCCATGGGCAAATATGTAAATGAATGGGCATGGCTGTGTTCCAATAAAACTTTATTTATGGACACTGAAATTTGAATTTCATGTAATTTTTGCATTTCACCAAATACTCTTGATTTTTTTTTTTTTAACCATTAAGAAATACGAAAAACATTCTTAGCTCCCAGCCATACAGAAACAGGTGGCAGGGGCCATTTTTATCCCCCAGGCCATCGTTTGCCAACCCCGTCCTAGAGGACTCTGCTTTCTGCCCAGCCAGCCTGGCAGAAAACAGGAGTTGGAGCAGAAGTCCTAGGGCTGACTCTCATTGGGCAGACTTGGGTCATGTGCCCCTCTCTGAGCCAGTCAGAGGCTGGGGGCTTGGTGCTCTCCCAGGACTGGTCAGTGGCAGCCAAGTCTGAATGCTGAGGATGGGGAAGCAGAGGAGACCCAAAGGAACAGCTGCTCTGCCACTGGAATGTGGGAGCAGTAGGTATGGGTGGGCAGACACCACAGAAGCACCTGCAGCTGTGACAGCAGAAATGTTAGTACTTAATAAACATGCTTTCTGACTTTCCAGGTGAAAACATCCGGGAGTTCTTACTGAGCCTCAGGTACTTCCGAATCTTCATCGCTCTGTGGAACGTCTTCATGATGTTCTGCATGATCGTGTAAGTCAGGCCTGCCTGTCCCCTGCATTGTCATTATCCTCTGTGTTGTTCTCCAGAATGACCCACCTGATGGTCATTCTCTGTTTTCTCAGTCTGCACTTTGGTGTCACACTTTCTGCTTTCAAAATAAGAACTATCCAAGGTAGAGAGGAAACAGGGGTCTACAGGGCTTAAGCTATGTCACTGCAGTCCAGACTGGAGCTACGATTGGAACACAGAATCCTCCAAGTCCTGGCTGTGCCTGGTATGTTGCCAGGGGCTGCCCAGAGATGCCTTCCCCGGTTACCTCTCGCCAGCTCTGCTGTGCTTAGTGTATACTTGGCATCTGTCAAGGTGAAAAATGTGGCTTGAATGGCCAGTGTGCTGCCTGGTCCTGCTTCCACCCTGCTGGAAGCCAGCAGACATGTATTCAGACTTTCTTTTTTTATGCCCTTTTTAATTTTCTTATGAGGCTAATGAAATCCAGTTGGGTTGGTTTTTCTTCCAGCATTGGGGCGATAATTCCGATATTACTGTTAATGAATCATGAGACTCAAAGAGTAGACAGACTCAGGGTTAAAACACTAGGAGAGCCTGGAGTTCTCATCCATGTCGGGCCTATCCTGTGGGCTTCCTTCAAAAAGGAAGAGAGTGAAAAGTTGGCTGCTCTGAGAAGTTGATACAGTGAATTTGGGATTGCTGAGTGGTCCTTGTGCCAGCCCAGTGTCTGTTTGGGGAGATGTTTTCAGGACTTAGGGAGGTCGAGGAAGGAGAGACTCACTGTGCCACTGCAAAGTGTTTTAGAGTCCAGATTGAGGACCATGACGGATGTCAAAGAGGCTCTTTTTGGGAGCTCGGATGAGGCCTGCTCAGGTACAAAGAGAGCACTTGAAGAGATCAAGGAATTTGCAGAAGAGTACAGGAAATGTAACTGGGACTCCCAGGAAGCAGAACACAATTGGAGAGCTCCTCCAGTCTTTGTCTCTCTAGGTTCCCACCTATCCATTTATTCATTTATTCATTCACAGCTGTCTATCATGGGTTGTGCTCTTGGGTTACAGCTGAGACCAACACAGACATAGTCCCTGCCTTTAGCACATGCACAGTATAACAGGTGGAACATGGACAGAAAACAAACAAATAGGAAAAAATCAATTGTGAGGTGGCAAAAGGGAGGGGGTCTCCCAGTTTAGGAGGTAGTTAGGGAGAGGCTCTCTGAAAAAGTGCCATTTAATTCAAGAGAAACAGGAAGCCCGATTTGCAGAGCTGGTGAGAGGCAAGGTAGCACTGGAAGCAGCATGTGCAAATGTCCTGAGGCAGGGAAGAACTCGGTATTGTTTTTTATTCTGTTCATTGGCATTATTGTCTTCTCTTGCCTGACTAGCTTCCTTCACTGCTCATCTGCTGGCTTGTGACCAGGATGGTAGCCTTAGCCTCAGGCTCTGTGATTTCCCAGCTTAACCCGAGGCTAGCTTAGTCAGTAGCCCAGTGTCCTGATTGTGTTTCCTGGGAGCAAAGTCTGATTGACATAGCTAGGTGTCACCCAGTTCTAGTTGAATTGGGGGTTTCTGATTCCAGCCTAACCACTGAGGTCAGGGGTCAGCAAACCACAGCCCCTGGGCCATATCTACCCGCTACTTGTTTTCCTGAATGAAATTTTATCGTCACACAGCTATACCCATGTCTGTGACTGCTTTTGCACGACCACGGCTAGGGCATTGCAACAGAGTCTGCCTGACCTCAAATCCTGGACTACTTACTGTGTGCCTTTTATAGAAAGTGTGCTGACCCCTGACCTAGGCCACCTCTTCCTGTAGGGGCCATGAGTGAGGGGAGATTCTCTCCATAAAGGGCTGTCAGTGAGGCAATGACTGGCTTTCCTAAGATATTAAAACACTGGAAATCACCTAAATGTTGAAAAACAGGGGAAGAGTCAGGTAATTTAAAGGACGCCTGTACGACCAACTGTCATGATGCCATCAGTGATGATATGCCAGGAGGTTATGTCCACCTACACTAGGGAATGTTTTGACAGTAAACAAGGCCCATGTCACCTATATGCACACTCGGCTTCAGTTGTTACTTGCACACAGTAAACATTGGATAAATGCTGAGTGAATATCTGAAGTCTGTGAGGGAAACACTTCCATTGAGGGAGTTGGAAGAATTACTCCAGACTGTCCACGGAAGTGACTGTAGCAGGGCCCGAAGGATGGTTCCCTATTCCCTGCACCCACTTCTGGGCTACTTTGGAAAATTTAAAAAGTCATGAAAAACTTGAAATACAGGAGAAATGTGCCTGAATGTTTAGGGATCAAGGGTACTGATATCTGCAACTTAACTTTGAAACACATAAAAAATAAGGTAGATAGATAAATGGATAGATACACTGTAAAGCTAAGTGTTAATTGCAGAGTGTAGGTGGTGTGTATGTGGGTGTTCACCAAACTGTTCTTCCAATTCTTCTGTATGTTGAAATCTTCATAACAAAATATTGGGGGAAAGAACAGGGAGAAAATAAGAGTGTCAAACCATGGAGAAGGATTAATAAGTAAAAAGTGGAAGTTGGTCTTCAAATTTTTAAATTTTGATGAAGACTATTTTTTCTTATCTCACTTTTTATGTTGTAGCTAAGAAATCATTACTTAATGTAGGCATAAATCCTTGTGACCTTGGGTTTTCTTCTAAGAATTTTATAGTTTTAATAGGTCTATGATCCATTTTGAGATAATTTTTATATATGGTGTGAGGTAGAGCTCCAACTTCATTCTTTTGCATGTGGCAATCCAGTTGTTCCTGTGCCAGCTGTTATTTTTTAAATAACCTTTTTAGTTTGGAAAGAATTTAGGTTTATAAAATGTTGCAAAGGTAGTACAGATAATTTCAGTATGTGTTTTCAACAACTCTGTAGTTTCCCCCAGTAGACTTGTGTCATAACTTACGTACCCATTCCCAAACTTCATGGACATATATACAGTTTCCAGGCCTTTTCCTATTCTAGATTTTTTTCAGTGATCAGAGTTAACTGTAATCATTTGTTTACTCAAAGATCTTTTTGATATGAAAATTACCACTGACTTGCAGAGAATGGGCGAAAATAAAATGTTACAGATTCATATGAAGTAGATAATTTTTTAAAGGGTTAAATTTTTTTTAAGTTTATAGTTTGGTAGTGTTAAATATATTCACTGTGTTGTATAACAGAAATTACTGATAAAATCAGAAAATGATGTAAAATAACCTTAATAAAAGCAACTGAAAATATTTTCTAAAAAGTGTTTTCAGAGTGACAGCTTCCCATCCTCACAGACATTTTTGCCCTCTGACTTTTCCAGACTATTTGGCTCCTGAGCCCCAGATACGGAACCAAGAACACACCTTCCCAGATGCGGAGTCTCCCTTCTTCTGTGATGACTTCAAGAATGTTTTTGACCGGAAAACCCATGACCTTCCCGGAAAGCCCAAGCTCGTGGTGGGTGGAAAGAAATGTTCGCCAAGATGTGCATGGTTTCGCCGCCACATCACTGTTTTCTTTTCAAAGATATTTTCACGTTGGTCTCTGTATTGAAATGCTGTCTACTTAAGAAGTTTCAGGAGTGTTTATGTAAGGGGCTATGAAACAATGCATTCCCCATGAAAAAGAGAACATTTCTAGGTTGTTTTGTTGAATTGGAATCCATTTTCCACCTAGCTATCACTAGAAATACGTTTCTGGATATTTCTTGATTTTTAATAACCACCCCTTTTGGTTCAAATTATACAGATTTTTAGAAATCATTTATATCCTGGGATCTGAGGCAGAAAGGTTGGCTTTAAGTTTGATGCAGCCTCTGTTGGATTGTGTTTGTGAATAATGAAGGTCTTTGTTGCTGGGTCTGCGTCCAAGTTTCTTCCCCATCCCAATGGGCTTTGCTTGGTCACTCTGCAGCTGAGGTCATCCCCAGGACTTTAAGGGTGAGGTGTGACTGGTTCCCACAGAAGAGAGGTGCAGAACAATCATTAGGGGTACATGGAAGTCTTACAAGAAATTTTGCCTTGCCTTGAAAGCCTCCTGTTAAAGTAACTTTTGGGGCCATTAATTTTTAGAGTGGGAGTGATTTGTGTGGTGATATTGGGACCCAGTTCTGAAAGCTTGGTTTTTTGGGTCTGCTGTTCAAGTGGGTGATTTCAAGGTTGAAAAACAATGAGTCTCATTGGAGTGTTTTGCACAGAAGCTTCTTTGAAGGAGAGTCCTGGCTTAATTACCAAAATGAAAGGCCGGTGGTCGGCGCCTGGTGTTTGATTTGTTTGTTGTGGTTTTTGAAATCCTGACTTGCAGGTAAACCTAGTGGGAGAAAAAAGTAAATATGCAGGCTTTTAAAACTAAATAGCATTGAAAATAAAGCTCATTTCCAAAAAGGACCTTTTGTTTATACACTTTTTAGCCAAGAAGTTGACTTCTAACTTGAGTTATTTCGAATTACACTGTGGGAAACACCGAGGATTCATTTTGAAGACTGTCATTAAGTCAGAAACGATGTTCCCTTTTGGATTTCGCTCAATAAATGTTGGGCAGGGATTGGGCAAATACAATTTTGACCTGGCTGCTTCTGGAAGAATTGAAAGAGCCAATGATAACTGTGGGGTTTCATTAGGCTTGGATCAGGTCCACTTGTACTACTGCTCAGCTAATGTCATTCAACTTCATTGCTTCTATAATTCATTCCCTTGTCAAATCCAGCCAAGCATCACTTCATGGTTTGTAAATAGCAAAGCACATAGCTTCTGAGTCCAGCTTCGCCCAGGCCTGTGTTCTTGTAGCAAGAACGGACATGCCAAGATCTTGGCTGGTCATTCTTCAAGCCGAGTGAACAGTGTGAGAAAACCTCTGCCTCATTCAGACCCGCACTGAGGTTTCAATGAGATGAGGCATTTGTGCATTATGGAGATGAATTGTTCTCGGAGAAGAGAATGGTGTCATTGAGATTTTGTTTCAATAATTGTATTTTTCTCCAGAGAACTATTATCTCATTGTTAAGTTCTTATAAGCAGGGTAGCTTTTGGGGATGAGTATCAGAGGCTGCTGTACATTTTAAAAATTGAGTCTCATGGATGTCTAGGAAGCTTTTCAAGAACCCTCACTGGCACCAAAGCTTGTTAGAGTTTGAATTTTTGGTACATAGGGTCCCACAGCATTTAAGTGCTCACGTTCAGGGTCAGTTAGATATGGGTTCAAATCCCATCTCCATTCTTTGCTGGGGGGAACCTTGGCTGATTGCTTCCCCTTTCCCAGCCTCAGTTTCCACATCTCTAAAATGGGCTTGAAAGTCACACCTACATGGGGTTGTTGTAAGGTTCGGTGAACTTAAATTTTGGTTGGGTGCTTAAGTGGACACCTGGGCATCTGGTAATCGCTCAGTATCTGTGGGTGTCCTCACTCCCTGCTTTTCTCTTCTTGTGTTGATTCACTTGTTCAGGCCACACCTGCACTGTGAAAGGACAGTCACAACATTTTTAAAAATTGGAAACAATTTCCAGCATGAAAAACCCTTTCCCATCTTCCCATTCCCTTTCTAGCATTTTCCTTATGCCTGTTGAGATATACCACGTAGTTCTGATAAGTGGGTAAGGTAGTTCTAGTTCTGCTGTTTTCACCTCATATTTTCTGGGCTGCCAGGAAGGCTTCATGGTTCTCATTTTGTAGTTACTGTGCAGTCAGTAAATCCCTTGTTAATCTAGGCCCCCTCACTTGACTTGATTTGTACTTTTTCCACTGTTATAAATGTCACCAGTGTTAATGACCTTTGCTGGCTTCCCTCACTGGTACTTCTAGGAGTGCTCAGGAAGCCTTCATCATTATGTGCCACTGTTATGGCTTTAGTGGCTTTTGTTTGTTTTATTTTGTTTTAGTTTCTTGCTACCAATGTACATTCATTGTAGAAAAATTATAAAATACAGCTGTGCTCTAAAGGAAAAAGCCTTCCACAATCCCATTCCTCCAGAGAGCATCACCTGAGGTACACATTCTCCCGGCTCTCTCTTTCTGAACGTGCATTGGGTGTGGGGCATGCATTTTCTTGACACAAGTGGTCTTCTAGCCTGTTTTTCTCATCTGATAATATGACCACGTTTCTATACTTTTTCCTACTATACCATTCTTAATAACTGTAAATAAACCATTGTAAGGATGTATTAGTTTAACTAGTCCTCAACTGATGGAGAATCTTGGGTTGTTTCCAGTTTTGGTCTGTTATAAATAACACTGTAGTGAACATCCCCAGTGGATCATCCCTAATGGATTTTTGGGGTCACTTTTAAAGAGATCCACCTTGACAGCTTGAGGCTAAAAACCCCAAAGAAAAATGCATCTTGGACAACTTAATCCTTGTTTTTATTTTTTTTTTGTTCATTCGTTTGTACATACAAACATACATATCAAAGAACTTGGTTCTAGATCCCTGTCACCTCTGACCAGGAATGGCATTAGGCAGCTTCAGTTTATTTAAGCTGTGAATAAGGACGAGGTTTTCAGCTCCACTCCAATAACTGTTTCTTTATGCAAGCAACAGCAGTTGATGTTACACCAGCTGGTTTTCCACCTTGGCCCAGAAGGATCTTAGCTACCATCTATTAATAAGTAGTAAATGTCCACTACTGCTCACCCTGGAGCATGTTACATGGAGCTGTTGCTGAGGCGAGAGGCCACACATGGAGAACAAAGAGAAGTCCTCAGTTTGCAGCACCTGCCCTGGCTACAAACTTTGAGGTTCATGTTAGTCATCCCCTTTGGGGGTTCATATTGGAAATCTCCTTTTGCTTCCTCCACTCTTGCCATCTTGAGAAGAGAACACGTCCCTCCTTTGTGTGGGGTTCTTATTGCACTTCAGTTCCAGCTGCTGTAGAGCAGAATTTGGAAACCACAGACCTTGATCTGCCACCTGTTTTTGTAAATAAAGTTTTATTGGCACCCAGCCATGGCTCTTTGAGAACATGTTGTCTAGAGCTGCTTTGGTTGCTTTCCTGCTACAATGGGAGAGTTGCTGACAGACCATCTGGCCCACAGAGCTGAAAATATTGCTTATCTGGCCCATTATAGGACCAATTTGCCAGCCCCTGAACTAGGGGATGATGGAGAATCTCAAGGTGCCTCCCCCCTCCCCCCACCAACTCCCCAAAGCCAGTGGAATTATTTGCATGCCTTGTGGTCTGGATTTTAATGAAGACATTTGCAAACATGTTTTTCAAACTTGCTGAGCCAGCCATTTTCAGGTGAAGTGGTTAATAGACCAAAACCTGATTTTGTCTCTTGATAGTTAGGGGTGAGGTCCCTTCTGGACTCTGATTTCTCTGAGTAGCAGCATGATGTGATAATGAGATCGGCTCTCTTCTGAAGTGCTTAGATCTGAAAAGCCAGTGAGACTGTCATTAGTGAAACATTTTCTTTCCATTTCAACCATTTCATTATCTCCTTAACCAAATTTGAGTTTATGAAATGTTGAGAAACCTCCTGATGTTTTCCGGTGTTGATGAAAGATGTATGTCATTTGTGCTTAAAGCAAAAGGCATGCTATTTAAAAAAAAAAAAAGTAAATTCAACTTGGGGGTTTATTTTCATCATTCCCTTGATTTTCATTATGCAGAGGAAAGCACTTGATCTACTTCAAGCCCCTCTCTGGCACTTGAGCGTTCCTGGAAGTGAGAGTTTGGGACTAGCAAGCTTTCCTGGATGAGAAATTGGGCAAAAGAGACTGTAGCAAATCAGAAATTCAAAGTCCACGTTTTTCAACAAGAAAATGCCAAGAATTAGTTCAGTGTGTGGCTCCGTAGCTTTCTTTTCACAACCCATGAGAGAGAATGGCTTTTACCTTTTTATATGGTTGGGGGGAAAATCAAGAAGAAAATGAAAGATTCAAGTTTCTTTGTCCATAAATAAAGTTTTATTGGAACGCTACTATACCAAATCGTTTATGTATCATCAGTGGCTGCTTTTAAGCTTCAAGAACAGAATTGTGTTCTTGCAACAAAGACCATCTGGCCTGCAAAACTGAACATATTTTCTGTGTCTGACCCTTTGCTGATCCCTGGACTAGACAATTTGAAGAAAAAAAAAGACATCTTATGTGTGGATCCTGTTTATCTGTGTTTGGTTCACATCATTGTCGTGCCCATTAGTGTTATATGTGGGCCACCAGAGTATTGACTGTGCTGGGGGAGTTGTAGAAGTTATTTTGGGGGAAATAAAGCTTCAGTTCATCTAATTAGAGTTTATTGTGTGAATTGGGAAAAAGTGGAAAAGAGGATTATGGCAGAAAGGAAGATGACCTGGGCTCTGTTGCTTACAGAGTACAACGTGGGGCAGCATCTTGGCCTCTGTGCCTCCATGTCCTCATCTGTGACATGGGGACAGTGAAGGAGAGAGCCTTGATGTGTGCCTATAACTTGCCTGACATGGGAGAGGTACTCAAGAACTGGTGATATTTTCTTCAGAGTCATTACTTTTATTAAACAACACCCTCAACGGGGTTTTATGAGGTTTAAATGAGATGGTGTTTTAGCTTGGGTTGCCATAACAAAATGTGACAGATTAGGTGGCTTAAACAACAGACATTTATTTTCTCACAGTTTTGGAGGCTGGAAGTCTTAGATCAAGGTGCTGGAAGGGTTGAGGTGAGGCCTCTCTCCTTGGCTTATAGACGGCCACCTTGCTGTGTCCTCATGTGGCCTTTCCTCTGTGTGCATTCCTGGTGTCTCTTACTAATGAGGATACTAATGGGTCCATCCGTAGTTACCTCTTTAAAGACCTTGTCTCCAAATATAGTCACATCAGGGGTTAGAACAGGAATTATAAGAAGATGCAATTCAGTCCATAACAGATAGTCAAGGGTCTGGCCCACAGAGCTATTCAACAGCTGTTAGTTCATCTCCTTGGCTAATAGTTTGCCTTAAGATATTAAAACTCCATGTAGCCTAGGAAAGCTGACCCTGAGAACTGCTACAAAGGAACTTTGCCTCCTGACATTCCATGGTAAAGAATTTGGAAGTGGATGGTGGCTTCCACCCCAGAGTCTCAGTTTCAGACTTTGATGGCCCCACGAATCCCCTGGGGGTCTTGAAGAAGTGTGGATTTAACTTAGGCTGGGAGCACAGGCTGCAATTCTGCATTTCTAACCAGCACCCAAGGATCCTATGCTGCCTGGTCCCTGGACCACACTTTCAGTAGTGACAGCCTGTGCTGTTCGTTAAATAACAACTAGTGCTGTCTCCGGCTCCCACAACCAGAGGAGCTGTTGCCATGTCCGCGCATCTGCAAGGATGGTCGTGTGCAACTGCCCCAGCTTCTTCCTGATCAAAAAGAACAAGCAGACATACAGCACCGAGCCCAATAATCTGAAGGCCCGCAACTCCTTTCGCTTCAACGGGCTGATTCATCTCAAGACAGTGGGTGTGGAGCCAGCGGCCGACTGCAAAGGTGTGGTGGTCATAATGAAGCAGAGATCTGGCCAGCGAAAGCCGGCCACCTCCTATGTGCGGACCACCATCAACAAGAACACCCGGCCCACCCTCAGCAGCATCTGGCACATGGTCCGCAAGAGCAAGTACCACATGGACTTGTGCGTGGCTGCCATCTGCAGAGCCAGCGCCATCCTGCGCAGCCAGAAGCCCATGACACTGAAGAGGATGCGGGCTCGCCCCACCAAGAGCTCCTGAGCACCTCCCTGCCTCCAAAGCAATAAAGCATAAAGCGTCACCCAAAAAATAAATAATAATAACTAGCTACAAGCGGCTATTTCAGTTTCCATCTCAACTAAAACTAAAACCCCAACCCCCCAGTCAAAGTTGCTACATTTCAAATGCATTTCATTACAGAAAGCTCTAACTGGGCAGCACTGCATGTAAAGGAGAGGATGTAAGCCTTTTTAGTCAAGGGCCTTCATGAGTTTCCCTGGGGCAGCTATATAACAAATGGCCACAAACTTCACAGCTTAAAACAGCATGAATTTATTACTTATAGATCTGAAGGCCAGAAGTCCAAAATGGGTATCTCTGAGCTACAATCAGTGTGTTGGCAGAGCTGGTTCTTTCTGGAGGCTGTAGAGGAGAATCTGTTTCCTTGCCTTTCCCAACTTTTTTTTTTTAAAGATTTTATTGGGGAATTGGGGGAGAGGAACAGACAAGTTGCTGTCCTTTTGTTCTTCAGTTTAGTTGAGGATGTCGCTTCACTGGCCCATGTTGATATTATCATTGCGCTCTTCCCGAATGAGGCAGATCGGTGGCCGGCCATTGGACAGCTGCTCACAGTGGCTCTTGGCCGCTCACGCTGGCTACCAGCCACAGACGGTGGCTTATGGTAGCCCACTGCAGCAGGGGCTGCAGCCTACTCCGTCGCCGATGACTCACGGCAACCCAGCTCCAGGTCGAGCTGTTGTTCACCATCTTAGCTGTAGAGAGCAGTGTCACTGGCCCTCATGTGGGATCCAAACTTGGGCCCTGCTGCTCAGAGCTGGCGTCCGAAGCCAGCTCTTAACCAATGCGCCACTTGGCCGGCCCTGCCTTTCCCAACTTTTAGAAGCTGCCCTCATCCTTGGTTCATGGCCCCTTCCTCCCTGGTCCAAGCCAGGTGACGCATGCTCAGCACACAGTAGGTCCTCACTGCTGAGGCTTGTCCTGAAACCCAGGCACCAGAGCCAGTTCCAAACTCAGGACTTACCCCGCTTTCCAGCCACATGTCCTGCTTGTGACAATACCGCAAGGCATCTGGGCTGGCGCATGCTCATTAGAGTGATAGTTCTGTTGCAAAACATCCAACATTCACTCAAAGTTGGACAACCAAAGACTAAACAGACAAGCTTTGCCAACAAATGGGTTTGCTGGAAAATTAAGGGAAGATGTAACTTTCAGAGTTTTGGGGTTCTGGAATAAATGGTGGGGCAGGATTGTGGGTCTGTGCTGTGTGTCCCTATCCTGACTCTCATTGGAGAGTTGCCCCTCCTCATTAGGCATCAGTTTTTCCATCTGTGACAGAGACGGCCTGGGACCAGGTATTCACCAGGACTTGATTCTCCCTCGTCTCTCTGTAGCCTACAGCTCCATGCCTGTGTTTTCTGAGAAGTTCCATTGGCCGGTTTGAGGTCTTTCATCTTGGCTTCTGTCTGCTTCCGTCTCCTCGTTTCTCGACACCTGCCCATAGGCCTTTTTCTGTTCCTTGGAGAAATGGCTTGTACCTGATTTGGTTCATGTGTTTCCCTGCAAATCTGGGAACCCTGAGCTCTGGGCTGGGGTTATCTCCTGCTAGAAATCCAGCCACATGAATTTGGCGAGGTCACTCCTCTGAAGAGCAAGAACCAAGTCACCTAGTTGGATAGCTAGGTGACCAGTGGAATAGGCATGGAGAAAACTTACTTAGGGATGGTGAGAAATAAAGCTCACCAGGAACATGGGCTGTGCATGCGTATGGCATGTATTGGAGTGTGGAAAGTGTGATGTGTGGTGTGTGACAAGAGGACCTTGGAAGGGCCAGCTGAGTGGCACATTGGTTAAGAGCTGGCTTGGGACGCCAGAGGGCCCCGGTTTGGATCCCACATATGAGGGCCAGTGACACTGCCCTCTAAAGCTAAGATGCTGAACAACAGCTCAACCTGGAGCTGGGCTGCTATGAGTTGCTGGCGATGGTGTAGGCTGCAGCCCCTACTGCAGTGGGTTGCCATGGGCTACCGTATGTAGCCAGCAGCCAGCGTGAGCGGCCAGCAGCCAGCGTGAGCGGCCGTCCAGAAGCCGGCGACTGATCTGCCTCGCCCGGGTAGAGCGCAATGATGGTGCCAACTTGGGCCAGTGAAGCAGCGTCCTCCACAACTAGACTGAAGAACAAAAGGACAGCAACTTATGGGAACTCCCCAGCGCTGTTCCCATCCCCCAATAAAAATCTTAAAAAAAAAAAAAAAAGAGGACCTTGGAAGACCAAGGGCTTAGGCGAGGTGAAGGGGGACACTACCGAGTTTCTAGAGCAGGGGACAAGAAGATTCAAACCCCATGTCAGAAAGAGCTGCCTGGAGAAGAAAAGGCCAACCTTGGGTAAAAGCCACTACAAATTTATAGTTTATCCTACAGTTCCTTTACTAAGGAAAAAAAAAACCAAAACGGTGATTTTATTTTATTTCTGTAGACACTTAAATAAAATGTTTTATCAAAACCATTCACTAGAGAATTAGAACAGTTACTGATTTTGTTTCTTTGCTTCATGAGAGTAATTGAGAGAATATAAAACTGCACTAAGCAAAATAATAGCCTCTAATCTAATCTAACAATCAGATAATCAGCAGTGAAATAATCTAATATCCTGAACATCCCAATCAAACAATTAGATTATTGGAACACTTCAAATAGATTATACAATATTTTAGCAAGTTTTTTGAGGTCTCCTTAAAAAGAGAAATAAAGCAAGAATAATTTTGTGACTACAAACTGCAAACAGACAGACAAAATGAATTTTGTAATTTCCAAAGTATATTACCTGGTTTGTCTTTTGAAGAATTAAATATAAATTAAAAGGAGATGGATACAAGCATTCCGGTAGCTCCTAGAAAAAGCATGGACAGCAGTGGAAATGTGGAATCAAGAGAGGTTGATCCTTTATTTCGTGTGTGTGTGTGTGTGTGTGTGTGTGTGTGTGTGTGTGTGTGTGTGTGTGTGTGTGTGAAGATTATGTTGCTGTGTTGTTTTTATATATGATTATTCTTTGTCCTGGGTTTAACTGAATTAAGGTCAGTGTAATAGAGAAGATAAAGTAAAAAATAAAAAAGAGGTTCCTGGATGCGTGTATATAGCAGATTGGGGGAGAGAACAGTCAGCAGGTGAGAGGATTGGGGCAGGGCTCAGTTCAAGAGAGGACAGGAACACAGGAGACACATGGCCAAAAACAAGCATGAGGCAGGAGAGGCACAGGAGTTAAGTAGCCATGAAGGGCAGAGAGGAGTTCAAAATAAGATCTGGCCTGGAATCCCAGCTGCTCTGTTGGGGCTATGTGGCTGTGGTTGAATCTTCACTCTTCCACCTAAGGCTCTTCCTTGTGTGTCATTTGAGGTTTACAGTAGCAACTCTGTCTCAGTTAGCTAGTGCTGCTTAACAAATGATACCAATACTAAGTAGCTTAAAACATCTATTATTTAGTTATAGTTCTGTGGGCAGAAAATTGGACAAGGCACATGTTTGACACCTCAGCCCTGGTAGCCCAGTTGGCTGGGATTAGGCGAGTGGGGCTCAG